CTTTTGTCTGATGCCTTAACTATCTTGTCACAAGAGCTATCCTATTTGTGTTGAATTTATTGTAAATTATAATGTGTAGAAAAACAAATGCCCCCTTGATGAATAAACTTATGTAGAAGAACTGTGCTAAGTTTGACTGATATTTTTACCCTATTACTACATCATTATGCTCAAATTACTTGTTGAGATAAGCTTTTTCTGGAAGATAACAAACTAGATATAATGCCAATGTTATTATGATTTGCAGTTGTTGGATCTCCCTGGTATTATCGAGGGTGCTAAAGATGGAAAGGGTAGAGGCAGACAGGTAGACCCAATTAGTTTTGTCAGATATAACCAATAATTTATGGGCCTTTTTTGGCATTTTTTTAATTGCATGTTCAACGTGCTTGATATTATTTTTGCGTTAGCAAATGCTTAAGCATAATCATATCTATTATATAGATGAAACTATGTTAATCGTTCATTTCTATTGTTTAATGTTTATTTATTTATCTTTAATTTATATTCTCTTAATTTTATGCTATTATTGCTCGTATGAATTTTAATTTTTAATTTAATTTTACAACTTAGAAGGTTTTTTTTTGTCCATGTTTATGCTATGCCTACTAAAGTATCGCGAAAGATTATGCACTTCAGCGGAGTGGATATTTTTAATCTAATTTTATTTGTGGATATGATTTTATTGATGGCATAGAATTGAAATCATTTTAGTATAATTCTGGATCAAACCTTTTTTGAAAATTTGGTTGGCTTGTACTGGTTTCTGATCTTTTTTCTCATACTCATCTGTCATTACAAGTATTTTGAAAGAAGTGCCATTGTTATCCAGGTCATCAGCACTGCTAGGACATGCAATTGTATATTAATTGTTCTTGATGCGATAAAGCCAATAACTCACAAGCGTCTTATTGAGAAAGAGCTTGAAGGATTTGGCATAAGGTAACATTGGGTAATCTTCTGCTGCCTCCTGGTGGTTTCACTTTTGATGTCATTTTGGCCTCTTTTGCATTTGCCTGCGTGTATTTCTTAGCCATACTGATCTTGCTTGTTATAAAGTGCTATCATTGTGGAATCTAAGAGTATTTTGTGTCCTTTTTTTTATATATTTTCTTTGAAAAATTATGTTTCTGTCTCTTAGCTTCTTACTGTCTACTCACATCCTTGATTTTAGTTTTCCCCAACAACTATTGTTTTTTTTTTTTTTAATAATTGGGGAAGGTGGGATTCGAACCCTGCTCTTTAGGTAGAGGCATAATTCACCAACCAATGAGCCAATTGTTCAGGTGTTGACAACCATTGTTTGTTTCTTATCAGTGTTTGCTAAATTTAATCCTTCCCCTTAATTTGGCATAAATTTGGTAGCAGTTACTTGAATGAGCATTAGACACATGACTTGTTGGTTCTTCAACGTGGAGATCACAGATCATGGAGAATTATGGTAATGACATTTTGAAGCAAATATACATGCCTATAGCACCTCGATCTCAATGCTGTTGGAATTTATCTTGAAGGACGTCTAGTTTTCTACAGTTTTGTTTATGTCAAAATAGGGCGAGGTGCTTTTCTAATTTCATTGGAATTTAGTATACATGGGTTACTTGCTATGGCTTTCAATCTAGTGGTATCATTTAGTGTTTTGATGGGGTAATTATATATATGTAGAATATTCTTGATATTAAGGTTTTTCCTTGTACATATTGATTTTTTTTAATTAATTAGTATAGATCACATGTTGAAGCATCCCATGTCCTGTTGCTACCATTCTTGAGCTGCATCTTTGTAGTGGTTGACTTCTTGCCAGTGCTCTGAAAAGTGTAGTTTGTGGGCACAGGTTGAACAAGGAACCGCCTAATTTGACATTCAGAAAGAAAGACAAGGGTGGCATTAATTTCACCTCCACAGTTACAAATACTCACCTGGACGTTGAAACTGTGAAGGCAATATGTAGTGAATACAGAATTCACAATGCTGATATCACTTTAAGATATGATGCAACTGCTGATGATCTAATAGATGTCATTGAGGGCAGTAGGATATATATGCCTTGCATCTATGTTGTGAACAAGATTGATCAGATTACACTTGAAGAGCTGGAGATTTTGGATAAACTTCCCCATTACTGCCCAATCAGGTACTTTTCCCTTGATGCTTTGGGAAATAGTCTGACTCTTCTCTGCTGATGCCTTTTTCGATCAAAGTTGTCATAATAAAGTTGGTCTGCTTCATTGAAGTATGTTAGTCGTAAGATGCAATCTTGAATCTTTATGTTGTGATTTAGACTTCAGATAATAGTTGTTCCTAACAAGCACACAGGAGATAGGAACAAACCATATTTAGATTGAACAAAAACAATCAAATTTGCTACCAGATGAAAACCCTCAGATGGTGATCCACAATGCCTGCGGTAGCTTATGTGATAATTTAAAGATGACGATAGTTATGCTGTTCCTTCCCTGTTGTAGCGTGGCATGAACCTCTGATTATAGGGCTATAGTTCTTCAGGTTTGAAACAATATTAATAGCTTAAAGTAAATTTTAAATATTAGCCTAGGCTTGGTTTTAATTGTGCCCTTAAAGTGTCATTTTTACTCCTATTGGATTTGCTTGGTATGATTGAGTGGTCTACAGAAACTATGTTGTCTTGTTGTAATTTATGGTGATGGCTATTTCTTTCTTTGCCTGATCATCTACTTTGCCGTTGATGGTCTAATTTTCTATATAATTCTTTTTCTGACTAATCTGCAGTGCTCACCTGGAGTGGAACCTAGATGGTCTCCTGGATAAGATATGGGAGTATCTTGATTTAACTCGCATTTATACGAAGCCAAAGGGGATGAACCCAGACTATGAAGATCCTGTAATCCTGTCATCAAAGAAGAGGACAGTTGAGGACTTCTGCAACCGAGTCCATAAAGACATGCTTAAACAATTTAAGTAGTAAGTATCCTCTTCAAATCTCTAATGCAGTATGCTGTCGAGTCATAGCCACATTTTGCAGATGCAAGGTGTTTTAGAAGTCTGCCCCGAAACTTCGTTTGAGAGTGCAGGGGGAAAAAAACTAAATGTCATACTTATTTGCAGGCTAGCTTATACTTTGTGTAAATGCCCTGTTTGTGTTTGAAGATAAGCAAATTCCAACCAATTTCAGCCACTAGAAAGAAAACTCTCACAATAACTTCAGGATTTTAGGGTCCCTATAATAAAGCTCTAAGTAGCAATGTGTCATCTCAGTTGTTTTCTTATTTTGGACTACTATTCTGGGACTCTGTGTTATTTCTCCGTTTACCTTCTGCAATAAATCTTGTGATGTATGAAATTACGAGGATTGTTAAGTTCAAAGCTTTATGATGTTGTCCATAGTTGAACAATCAGTAAGGAATTTGAATGCTTATCAAAGAACATGGTATATCCAAGCATATGCTCTGTGCTGTTTGCTTGCTTTGTTTTGAGACAGACCAACACATAAAGAGCATAGGTTATGTCGGCATTGCCTTTGAGTGTGTCAGGTATTTTGGATTTTAGTCTATTGTAGGAAGGTATACTGTTTGTTGCAAGTCACTGGTTTGTTGACAAGGGAAATATGCAGTCAGAGAAGATTTTTTGTACTTTTCTATTAGAATTTTTTTTTTTTGAATTCATATTCTTTTACTCTTTTACCATATTTAAAATCTCAGTTGGTAAGTTCTTAATATGGTCATATGATACAGTGCATTGGTATGGGGATCGAGCGTGAAACACAAGCCCCAAAGAGTTGGCAAGGTTTGTTCTAGAAACCTGATTTCTATAATTATCAGCTCCAACATCTCATTTCCAACCATTTTCCTCCCCTTTTCCCTACCTTACCTTTCGTTTTTTCCTTTTTCGTCTATGCTGCTGATATGCTTGGATAAATCATACTTTTTATCCCAGGATCATGAACTTGAGGATGAAGATGTTGTTCAGATTATCAAGAAGGTGTGATTACAGAATATGGAATTGTACTGGGACTCTCCAGTATGCCAACATTTTAGGAAGCCATCATGCCCATTTTCAGTTGCCAGCGAGTTTTCTGCAGCTGGAAATGAGGTAGAAGAGACACCTGATATGTAATTATGCCATTTTGCTGTCAAGCTATTTGCTTTGATTTACTCATATGTTTTGCTTCATATTTGAAATCTAGAACGAGATTGAAGTGCAAATGTCCTAGCGGGCAAATTTTTGTTTTAACTTCTGAGAGATTAGGCATTAATGACTTCGAGAGATCAGCCCTTGTCTCACCTGTGCATTGCCGCAAGATGCTAAATGAGGATACCTTCACATTGCAGAGTGCAGAACATCTAGGCTATTAGCTTTTGTTTAAGAAATCTACTTATTTCTGTAAGAGTAAAGGTTCCTTGCAACATTTTCCAAAGGTTTCCTAAGAATAAGACAAATCAATTTGTCAAAGTGGTCACAATTTTCAGTATGATGTTCACTGTAACATGTTCTTGTAAGCCTATTAATCCAGATTTTAGCTATGCGTTTACTAGTATTGTCGCAACATGATGTAGTTTTAAAGTCTTTCATGGTAGCTGAGGAATTGGTCTTTCATGGTAGTTGACCTCTTGTGCAGCTTGCAAGAAGTACGTAAACGGTGAACCACAAGCTACAAAATTCTCTCCCTACCTCGAATATAACCAGTGTGGGTTACCAACTCGGGCTAATTGCAGAGCCAGGAAGAAACCATCGAGTTCAACGGATAATGCAAATTTCAGAACCACCTTCCGAAAGGTATGGTTGTAATTTATTTTAAATTTATTAAGCAGCTCGTCCCACCACCCTTTAAGACCCTAAGAAATGGACCAGACAGTCAGTGCGGAATTGAAGCCATGGACAAAAGAATTGGTCCCCATCACCCCCTCAATCACTCGTGGTTGAGTTACATGACCATCATTTTCCCAACCAGATTTTCGTTCATGTCACATCCCCCTGGATCTCACACTAATCTCCTAATTATTCACACATTTTCAAGACTTCAATTCCCCCTTTTAACTTCTCCATTAGCTTTCATTCAAATTACATCAGTTCTTGTTATATAAGGTAGCACCCAATAAAAGAGGATGCGGGAGATAAAACATAAATCATCACCTATTCAATAAGAATAGCATCTTTCCTATGTGAGAAAACGAAGGGGGTGATGAAGAGAAGCAGGAGAATAAATATGATGGGAACACAAAAACATACAAAGGGAAAGAGAGAGTGCTCTCTAGATACACGGTCATCACAAGTCCGTGAACCTCAGGCCTTGACGCAACAGTTGAAGTAGCTGAAGATACTCCTCCTTGTCTGTCAAAAGAAAAAAACATATCAAAAGGCAATGAGGTAATGAACTAAAACTAAAACCACCATTCAAAAATGGTTAGCATCAAAAAGGCGTACAAGGTTAAAAGGTAAGCCCGAGCTAGCGGTGAATCAATCAACAGAGAATGTTCCAAAATAGAACAAATTATGTTGAATTAATCAATCAACAAAACAGCACAACTTGCCAAGAATAAACACAGATTGAGCCAAAAGTGCCCACTGCCATGAACAAATATCTGTTGCATGCGCACCACTTGCACTTACGTGTGACCTAAGGAAGGGGTAATACGGATCATATTAGTTATTGAGATGTAATCCTAAGCACACTTTCTTCAATCTTTTGGCACACATCTCCATCATGCATTCATAGGTACAAACCATTAAAAATATTTGAGACCACTATCGGACCCCATGAGTCACGAGACTGTTGCCAGCAGGGTTTAACTGGTACCGGCCTGAGAGATTTCTGTCCCCTTACTATAAATTAAGAGCAGTTTTTCCCTAAAATGAGATTCTAAATGTCCACATGAACTCTCAAAGTTAATTTCTGTTATCAGAGAAACAGAACAACATGCTACAAAAGAAATGCTTATCACAAAATTTGTCAATGTGGAAAGAGTCCAGTGGAGAAAAGTAGACGCATATCTTGACCACTGCATATTATAAATCAACACTGAAAACATTATTATTGATTTTACTATCTTCAACGTTCTTATCTTTAATTTGTCATAAAGGATTTGGAAAATTATTCTTACAACAACTAGGTCAATCAAATCAACATGATAAATAATCCTATTTCCTGCTGCCTTGACCAAATCTAACCGGCCTTTATTAAGGGCCAAACCATACGCGGTACAGAGTAAATGCTACCTATTCAGCTAGCAAGCATCAAACAAAAGATTAAATGAGCCAACTAAGCAACTTCCCCACCACCCTAGCACATGGATGCCACTAAAGTTTATAACTTTATATTCTTCCATCCTACGGCACTATTCATGTTTAAAGCTACCAACCAAAAATAGAAAAGCCATATTCAGTGTACGCTATCTAAAAAATTTAATAACTAAAGCATTTGGGAAGTTAGTGGAGGGGGGAATCTTACAGTTGGAGAGTGATGGTTCTGGGGATAATGGTGGTGATCATCGCTAGGGGCAGTGCTAACACTGGTTGCAGTCGGGTTAATGAACTCTTCTTCATTTCCAAGACTGGCTCTTGAAACTTCCCTCTTGTTCTGCTTCCTCATTTCCCTGATTTTTGAGAAATCGAGAGAGTAATCAGGCACCTGTCCCTTCTGCTCCCAGTCCCCAAATTGTGGCACTGATAGCCATGGAGCATTTTTCTGCATAAATTCAAATACCACCAAAAACAATACATCAATTTAATCAACCTTAGCAACTGTATCCATGCTTGCTTTAACTCCAACAAAGCATGCCAACAATCAATAACTACACCACATATGAAACAGAATAAACTGTGAAAACTATTTCTCAAAAGGGAAATGACAGCTGCCCGTCCACAAGTGCTACTAAATTTTAATTCAATAAAGTACATGCCAATCCTGAGTGGTCCAACTGTCATCAAATTACAAAATTTGGCCTGAAAATTCAATAGCAACACCTTGACAAATCCTAAAGGAAAAAGTGGCTCTTTTTCTTTCCTCACTAGCAAGTATCCTTAAAAAATTACATATCTTTGTCCAAAACTATGAATTGATATGAAAGTATTCTTCATAATAACACCTCAACAAAGTATTGTAACCTTCACCATTTCTGCTTAAAGAAGTCTCCTAAAAGGCAGAAACGAAGAAACAGGACTGCAAAAGCTGCAATTAACCGGTCATCCCAATGCTGAGATCTTCTCGATGAACTAGTCTGAACCAATTTTTTCAGTTTACGAATTCGATGGCAGAGCATTCATTGAGGTGCCGTATAGCCGAATGACACAACTCTCGAGACAACGTTACAAAATCGACCAAAGGAAACCCATAAAATATACTTACTAGTTAACAGTCCTCGTATCTCCAAAAAAAACTGTTTCTAAGTATTCCCCTGTTTCTTTTCCCTCTCCCAACTCTGCCATTATCCATTTTTCCGTCGAAAAAACTTGAAGAATATACATATAGTACTAGCTTTGTTATTTAAAATGAAAAAGAAGGTGGCAGCTTTGACTGTTCCACAGCTTTGAAAAAAGTGAACTATTACTTGGTTGAATGTCTGAAAAAATAAAAGTAAAAGGGAAAGAAAAATAAAAAAGAATTTCGACTTTTGAGACTGAAAAGGATAACAGAAAGTGACCATTAAATAAAATTAGCCAAAGCTAAAAAAGAAAAAAAAAACTTGAGGATGGAAAAATCGAAATCATTTTCATCCATGACTGAACTTCTAACTATTGAAATCTCAAAAAAAAAAAATGGAAAGATTGCAAAGGAACTGCAACTCCAAGACTCCAACTTCAACTGATTATTAGAACAACTGAATCTCCAAGAGTTCTTATATAGATAAAGAAAAGCTTCCCAGAAGCCTTTTCCCTGAGTTCATTTACCTCCCTTATTCTCAACAACATATGAAAGAGCTATAAACAAAAGAACTCACCTCCTTACGATCTTCCATGCTTGATACAAAGAAAAGAAAAAAGGTGAACTTCCCAAAGCTTTAAAGAGTTATATCAATCTAAACTATCAACTGCTATGACGAAAGAGAAACAAGAAGCGGGGAAAGAAAAGGGTTTTTGTTTTGAAAGCGAAAAGAGAATTGTGGGATTGAATGAGCTCTTCCCTTACAGCACTGGCCAGCACGTAATGAAATCAATCACTCTCTCTCTCTCTTTGGTTCTATATACGTTTCAATTCTCAATCATGGGCTTGACTTTTTGTTGAAATTACGCGGAATGCCACTCTTTCGGACACGCTTTAGCGTTTTAGCGTTTTGCACTTCTCCTTTCTTACATTTTTCCGTGGCTTAGTTTGCTAGCTGTCTCTAGAAAGGAAAGAATCCAACATTTTTCCGCAACACGGTTTCAGGTGTTAGAACGATGTCGTTTTATAAGCTTTTGAGTTCCTTCGATTTCATGCCACCATAAATTAAGACTTAGGAAGAATTGTTGATTTAGGCAAATGGCAGTTAGCTTCAGCCGTAAGTAAGAGACTGTAAAATCCTTTATTAATATATTCAGATTCAAAAGAATTTGCTGATCGACCAAATAGCAGGAATGAAAAAATGGAAAATGGTAGTAAGCAGCTACCAACCTAACGAGCAAAGGCGTCCCCACTCCCACGCCAGACATAAACCGGGCCAACGGATACGCTGTTTGCCCTCTCAGTGGCTTCCCCGTGTCCTGTCCTTCACTCACTGCTCCAAAGGAGGTTGAGCCAGCCAGAAGTGACAGCTTGATTGATTGATTGATTGATTGGGCCATTTACGTTGATTTGAAAAATGAGTTAGAATTAGAAATAGAATCTCTCTTTTAAAACAGTGTAGAAAGTCAATATTATAGTTCAGTCCACATGTCATTGAGAAAAGTACCCAACAACCGGTGGTGACACCACTTTTATTAAAACTCGTAACTAATTTCGTCGAATGTGTGCTTTAGGCCAAAGTCTGCAACGAAACGAAGGATTCGCTACAAGGATCATTCAACCTGCCTACCTCATCATCATATTCAATACTCCTACTTTGTTCCCTGCTTTGATTATGAAGTGACATGCGAGATATTTTTTGTTACTTCACGTTAACAAGTGAACATAAAAATGACAAGTAAAATTTTGATTAACGATATATAATTATAAAAAATTATTTAATTAAAAATAAATATATAAAATTTTAATTGAACATAAAAAAAATAAAAATTTATTGAAATTTATTTTAAAACATTACTTCGATCTTTTTTTTTTCCTTTCTCTTATGTCTTATTCCTTCGAATTTTAACAATTTGTGGAAAAGCAATGTATCCAAGTAATGAGGTTAACCGGTGATTAAGATTACAATTTTATTTTTTTTCTCTAAAGGGTAAGATTATACTTTCTTATTGATTATTGTAAGTGAAAGTAATGTTGACCAACTTTCCTTCTTCTAATAAATATTTTATTGGTAATCTAACTTCTTATCCGCCGTCCAAGAACGACTCTTTTAACGGGATCCACCGAAAGAACCACTGGTTTACTCAAACCACATATTATATATATATATATTATTTTACATCCACCTTTGGAATTTCTTTTTTTTGTTTTTCATTTTCTAGTGTTTTGAACCTAATGCCGTAGACAGATTTTACTCCCCTTTTTTATTTTAATTAGAGTATGTATCTTTTATCTCGAGATTTGAATATGAGATTTTTATTTTTATTTTAAAGATTGAGTTTATATAGAGAAATTTTAAATAAATAGAGAAAATTTCAAAAATTCTAAAATATAATTACTTTATTCCATGAAATATAAAATTATAATTTATCGAAATTGTTGAAATTTGAATAAGATATTTTGAAGGTTCAGAATATGGTCTAGAGGAAAACGAAAATGCTTTGCTGTCCGCAAATCATATATTGTAATGGGTCACAACCATGATGACTTGTTAATTTGAATTGGAACCCATTAAAATAGCTGAGAGCATGACAAAGAGTTTCTTAAAATAAATAATTTATTAAGAGGAGGATTACGTAGGGTCTATTATTATAGTATGCAATCATATCTTGATAATTTTACGCATTATATATCATATTTTATAGGTCATCTTGATTAAATTAAACTTTCAACAGCACATATATATTAGAACTCTTGGAACTTGGAAGTTTATAATTAAAAAAAAAGAACATCCAAAGCACTAGAAAGAAAAAAGTAAATATTTTCTTGCAAACTTTGCTGTCGACTCTTGAGACAATATATGCGAAATCAACTCCTTAATCATTTGCTTAGGAGCGGTTTGGTTAGTCAACCTGTTATTTAAAATTTCATTACTACATATTTGAAAGAAAAATAGAATTCTTACAAATGTTATTTATAGCCTCTTACAACATTCTGTAAAATATTTATAATTAAAAATATTATATTTCACACTCAAATTTTTAACTTATTAGTTGGTACATGATTTTTCTATTTAAAGCATAAAATTCAAATCTCCTTCTTTTAATTCTAATATATATATATATATTACATTTCTTACAGTGAGGATTAAAACACAAATAAGAAGGAAAACACCAACTAAGCAAAACATTAATTATTGATCATGGGTTTAAGTTTAGCTCAGATGGGCCAACTTTTGGGCCTTGACATATGTAAGTTTGTGGCTTAAATTGAGTCAATATTTGCCCTTTTTTTGGGTAACTATTAGAGGGGTTTTTTTTTGGGTATTATTTTGAGAACATTTCAGTTTTAAAATAGCACCACCTGTGAGTAAATTATTGCAAGCAATACCAAAACAAAATTTCTAGAAAATTCGTCTACCAAAATTTTCTTTTATTTGTTATTATTATTTGTTTATTTTGGAAAAATAAAGATTTTATTTGGTTTAAATTTTTATTTGTTCTAAAATGTTTATAAAAAAATAAAAATAATTGAACAAAATACTAAAAGCAAATGAAAAAAATATTAATCAAATAGAGTTTTAAAATATGTTTTAAATGCTACACATTTCGACTAGTATAATCATTGACACTAATCGATTAAATAAAATAAAAAAGGAAAACAAGAGACATCTTCGGTCTATGTTTAGTGTATGTGATATTATAAGTTGATTGAACGAACTAAGTTTTAGGCCCAATAAGTTTGGAACAGGGTTCGCCCACCGTCGGTCCATTCGGTGAGGACCAGACTTCTGTTTTCTCTAATTTGAATTGAATCTATCACGGTAATGGTCCATTTCAATTTTCAGCTACTAATGTTTGCATCACCTCTAATGTTTAGTTATTTATTAAGATTAACCCAATCATAATATTCTATTTTACATATGTTCCAGCCATTAAATTTTTTAATTAAATTAACTTAGAATTTGAAAACATCATATGCACTCAATCGTGATAGGTTACGTTGTTAAGTAGTGATTTCCCATGACTAAATCACATCATTTAGCTATTGAATTATTCAATTTCAAAGTTAATAGGTTTAAAATAAACAATTGTATAAAATTCAAAGTAAATAATAAAATATTTTTACGTGTGATTTTAGAAGAAGAAAATCAAATTTCTAACTATAAAAATAAAATAAAATAGAAGATATCCTCATGGCTGATTGGATACGTGGATTACGTCGAATCACGCATTGGATTGCACGTGGTGATATGTGGCAGGAAGGTTCTCTTCGATTCAGGTGTTTGGCTAACGGGAACCACAAATTCTATTCATACTAATCAACGGGCGTTATCTATCCCAACTCTCCACCTTGTTTCTCCTGTTCTCTCTTGGGCCACAATATTTTGCCTTTCCTTTTTTGTTTTTTTGTTCTGTGAAAACGACTGGTGGGCGGCAAAAAACCAAGGGGTTGGAAATAAATATCTTTATGGTGAAAGGAATATTTTTTATTTTATTATTACTCTCAGCTTTTTAATTTCATATTTATATCTTTTCACTTACTTTTACCTTTTTATTTTTAAATTTTGCATTACATAAAATAAATCTGTCTTCCAATAAAATAAAAAAAGGTTGCCTCTTACAAAATAAACAGACTACTCATTTTTACTTTTATTTCTTGAGAACAAGATAAGAAAATTCAAAAAATTAATAAATAATTAAAAACGTAGAAAAAATATAAATTTAATTAGAAAAATTAACTAAAAAGTGAAAATAAAAAATGGTTATTATCAGGTGTCCCCACCCTTGAGAAATGTACATTATTTTCTTTGTTGGATGTTCATTTTCAATGAGCCTGATGGGTACCTTTGTTTAAGCTAAAAAAAGAAAGAGAGAGAAAGTCAGTTTAAAATTTCCAATTTTTTTCTTAATTAGAGTTTTCATTTTTCATTACCATTAGACAACCAAAAAAATTAAATACTTATTCATATTTTAAACATCATAATATAAAAAATTAAATACTCATTCAAAAATTAATACTTAAAAACAATAAATTATCAAACTAAAAATAAAATATTTAATAAACAAAATTAACTTAAAAACTGAAAAGGTTGCTATAGGTGTCCCCATCCTTGAGAATTTACATCATTTCCTTGGCAGATTTTCATTTTCAATGAGTATGATGTTCTTGATGTGTGTATATTTATTTTGAAAAAAAAAGAAAAAGCCAAAAAAAAGAGAACATTTTTTTAATAATTTGTTTTATTTTTAAAATTAAAGATTTTCATTTCCTTTTTGGATGGACAACAAACAACTAGAAAAGGTCCCTCCTTCACCAATCTCTCTCTCTAGTCTCTGTCCTGGGCTTAGAGTTTCTCTTCCATTCTCTCTCACTGAGAAACTCTCCATTGCCCTGCTTTCAGAAATCCCCCATCCCTTTTTCCTTACATTTTTCCCACACTTTCCTTCACTTTCCCACCACCCAGACATGGGCCTTTCCACAAAACTCCACCGTTTAGACCTTCGTTCCACATTCTTCACCTCTTTTCGCCCCTCTTTCACCCCGAATTCCTCATCTCTTATCTCCCCAAAGACCCTTAAATTTAGACCCACTAAAATAACTGCCCAGGTTTCCACTCTCAGCGTTGAAACCTCTGTTAAAGACCCTCAAAACGACATCGAGTCATTGTTTTCCACCAACACAGTCGAAGAAGTTGATCGAAAACGCGCCAACAAGCAGTCCAACACCGGCTCTTCGGGTATTTCCTCCGGTGTAAAGCTCGAAAACATAAGCAAGAGCTATAAAGGAGTAACGGTTTTG